GAAATGGTGAGGGTATTCCTTGCAGGGGCAAAAGCAGCGGTAAGGGCCCACTTCAGGGCATCCAGTCTGCAAGACGGTGGGCTTGAGGATGGACAGGGACAGGGTCCAGGCAGGCAGCTCTGATCTTAGGAAGTCTACCTCCAAGTCCCAAGATCTTCCTCATCTCCAGACTCAGCCCGAGACAGAGGAATAACTAAGCATTTAAGCAGGAATCTAAGTGGGTTATTTTTTTCTTTCTTTCTGGGGCCCAGTTATTTGCCCGTTAGCCAACCCGGAGATGAGACTGAATTTATGTCTCACCAAAGAGGCACCAGGAAGGGAAGGAGAGAGACACAGAGACAGACAGGGAAAATTATGCAAAGGTTGTTGGGCTTTTTTCTCTTCTGTCTCCTCGGTAGAATCCTGCCGCTCTGTCTCCGGGGAGCGGTTCGCCCTCCAGAAAATATGACACTTTATTTCCTGCCCTTGTTTGTTAACACACCCCATTACCATCCATCTCAGTTTCATGTAACTGCCAGCCGGCATTAACGCCCTCCTCCTCGCCGCCGAGGCAGAAAATAGAAAGGGAAGAATTCAGCAGATTTTCCCCCGTGGCACCCTCGGTGGCACCAAGATAACCAGAGCCGAAACCACAATTGGATTCTTATTCCTTCAGCCCAGGAATGCGAAGGACGGGACAGTTTAACCACCTTCTGCATCTTCCTGCAAAGAGAGTCGGCTTGTTATTTCGGTCGTCTGGACTCCCTTCTCTGCTACGGACAAAGATACATTAATTAATTTTTTTAATGTTAGGCAGGAGAGGTTGCAAACTGTCAGGAACTGTCAGTGGCGCCGGCCCCAATCAGGTAAGCGGCCCGCGGCGCCTGCGGCGGAGACACACTGACCCCTAGTGGCTGGCCGGGCCCTCGCAGCGCCGCACCCCGCCCTCACTCGGTGGGAAAAAGTGGCTCCCTCTTTGGAGCAGCGACAATGTGTGGGCTGGGGGCGTGGCGGGTGCTGGGTCTCCGCTCTCTGCCCCAACGCACGCACACACGTGCACGCATACAAACACGCATACGCGTGTGCGCACAAACACGCATACACGTACGTGCGCGCGCACACACACACACACACACACACACACACCACGTCCAATTGCTTCTCTCCTTTCCAGTTCCACAGAGCGTAGATTTTCTGACCCCTCAGGGTGCTAGCCCTGGCCTACAAATAAGGCCTTTTTCTTTGGTCTTGAGAAGTTGAGAAAAAGGCAGGCAGGGTCCCAGGAGGACACACAGAGAGGGAGGAAGGGAGCTGGCGTTTGTGGAGAGACTCCTTGGGGCCAGGCACTGAGCACATGTTATCTCGCTGCAGCCTTAACATAGCCCCAATGTACCGAGAATTGGAAACTGAGGCTCTGGCTGTCCAATGGCTTGTCCAAGTCACGAAGCTCATGTTTTTATCGATAGTATTGATTTTAATAAGCACATGTTTACCCAGCACTTATCTGCCAGGCACTCTTCTAGCACTTCACCTATATTAAAACGACCTATATTGAATCCCCCATTACAACCCTAGGAGGTAAGTACGCCCATTTCACAGATGAGGAAGCCGAGGCACAGAGAGGTTAAGTAGCTATGAGTGGTGGATCCAGCCTAGAGCCCAGGCAGCCTGGCTTCAGAGTGTTCTTCACGTATCTCTCCAGGCTTCCAGACCCACGCCTCTCCACACCTCCTTTCTCCCCCAGGGACAGAGGGCTGCAGCAGGAGAGAGAACAGCCGTTCTAACTGCCTAGGAAGGAAGAAGCCTGTGGAGGGGGTGGTATTGACGTCACAGTCAGTGCCGTTCACCCTCAGAGCCTCAGGCCTGGCACCTAGGGGGTGCTTAATCCAAGCCCACTGGACTGGATCAGGAAGGAAGGTTCAAGGAAGGAGGAGGGAGGGAGGCGAAGGGGGCTGCATAAACCGCAATGCTAGCTCATGCTCTACTACCACCCCATGAACAGGTATTTTCAAACACTCCCACACTTTTTTTTTTTTTGGCCAAAACAAGGTGACTAGCTAAACTGTAATTGAACATTCCCTATGCCACACTCCTGTAATTACTACATCAAAAATGTGTGCCCCCCTCTTTGTATTCTATCTCATTTGAGCTACAGAGCAACCCCATGAGGTAAGTATAACCAGCCCCAATTTTATAGATAGATAGATAGATAGATAGATAGATAGATAGATAGATAGATTTCAGAGAGGAAGGGAGAGGGAGAGAGGAGAGCGACAGAAATATCCATGAGAGAGAATCATTGATCGGCTGCCTCCTGCACGCCCGACACTGGGGATCGAGACCACAACCTGGACATGTGCCCTGCCTGGGAATCAAACTGTGACCTCCTGGTTCATAGGTCGACGTTCAACCACTGAGCCACACTGGCCAGGCAACCAGACCCACCTTTACCATGAGAAAACAGGGCTTTTCCAAACGGGCTAAGTAACTTGTCCCAAGTTTCCCAGCTAAGAGACCTGGCACCCCGGCTTCCTGACTCCAACGCTCACGGCTCTCCTGCTGTCACTGCCACCCAGGATCCCCTGGCAGGAAAGCCCAGCCCCCACCACCACCCCAGAGGCCCTGTCCTTCCCTCGAGCAGTTGCTTGAACTGGCCGGGTCTGTTCCTGTCTTAAGACCTGAGCCCTAGCCGTTCCCTCCGCCGGGAATGCTCTTCCTGTACGTGGATCTTCACGCACTTGGCCCCTTCCTGTCATTCCGGTGTCAGCTCAAGTGTCACCTCCTCCGAAAAGCCTTCCTTGTCCACCCAACCTAAAATAGCCTTCCAGTCACTCTCTTGCATCACTGTCGTGTTTTCTTCCCAGCGGTTATGAATCTGGTGATTTCTTGTTTAGTTACTATTGTTAGTCTCCTCTCATGTGTAATAAGGGCTATCAATTGCATAGCACGAACTGACTCTGCGCCAAGCGAAGTTCCAAGCGCTTTACACACAGTCAGTCATTTAATCTTCACAACCATCCCTTATCGTAAGTTCTATTATTGTCCTCATTTCACAGAACGGGGAGCTGAGACAGGACAGCTCCAGTTACTTGTCCAAGATTCCACCTTCAAGCACGCTCTGCTCTTCGCCGCTACAAAAACACCAGCCCTTCAACAACCAAAAGGCAGCCATTGGATTTTCAAATGGGTAAAGGATTTAAATAGACATTTCTCCAAAGATGCATAAAATGGCCAATAAACACGTGAAAAGACGGTCGACATCACTAGTCATTAGGAAAATGCGATCACAACCACAATAAGATACCCCTTCACGCCCACTTGGGTGGCTGTCATTTAAAAAGATAACCAGTGTTGGCAAGGGCGAGGAGAACGTGGAATCCTCGGACAATGCTGGTGGGAACGTAAAATGGCGCAGCCACTGGAGTAAACGGTTTGGTGGCTCCTCGAAACGTTAGACATCGAATTGCCTTGTGACCTGCAGTTCTACTCCTAGATACTGTATATATCCAAGTGACTTGAAAACAGAGACTCAAAACACAAATGTGTGCCCGAATGTTCATAGCGGCACTATTCGCAACAGCCGGCGGGTGGCAAGAACCCCAATGTCCACCAGCGGATGAATGGATGAACCGAATGTGGTGTTTCCACACAATGGGCTACCCGTCAGCCACAGAAAGGCCCGAACGAAGGACTGACATACTACACAATGGACGACTCTGAAAAGCATATGCTAGCCGTGGCCCCCGGATCTGTCTCTCGCTTCAGCCATGTTTGGACGGAGCAGACCCAGGGACACCCCCTCTTCCAGCCTCTGACCCCCTCCCACCTCTCCTCCAGTCGCCGCCTTTGGAACCACGTCAGCCATCCTCCACCTCCAAGGCCAGACACCGTTTTTTGATCTTAACTCCTTATTGCCCAACAGCCATGAGCTCCCAAATTCGTGAGAATTATTCCACCGAGGTGCAGGCTGCCGTCAACCGCCTGGCCAGCCTGCCTCTGGGCCTCCCGCACCTACCTCTCTCTGGGCTTCTATTTCCACCCGAGGGTGTGGCTCTCGAGGGCGGGACCACTTCTTCCGACCGACTCGGTGGAGAAGAAACTCGATGTGAGGGCGCAGAGTGTCTCTTAAAGATGCAAAACCAGCCTGTCGGCCGCATTTTCCTCCAGGACACGCTGAAGCCTCCCAAGACGAGTGGGCAAAACTCAGGACCAGGGAAGCCAGCCTGGCCTTGGAGAGGAACCTGACCCAGGCCCTTTTGGAGCTGCTGGCCCTGGGTTCTATCCGCGCACACCCTCAGCTCTGTGACTTCCTGCAGAACCACTTCCGGGTGAGGAGGTGAAACTCATCAAGAAGACGGGCGACACCTGACCCACCTCTGCAGGCTGCCGGCCCCCAGGCTGGGCTGGGCGAGTATCCCTTCGAAAGGCTCCCCCTCCAGCACGACTAGGAGCCTTTGGAGCTGAGGCCTTTGAGGGGCCCCTCTGCATCCCCCTGGAACCACTAGGCAGCCTTTTAACCATCCCAGAGCCCTCTCCCATGCATTGGACCAAATGGAAACAATAAAGCTTTTTGTGGGTGGGGGGGGGGGGGGGCCGGGCGGGGGCGGGGGGGGGGGGGGGGGGGCTGCCCGGTCGGGTGGCTCAGTTGCTTGGAGCATGGTCCTGCCGTACACCAAAAAGGTTCCAGGTTCTATTCCTGGTCAGGTCGCATACCTAGGTTATGGGTTCGATGCTGGTTGGGGCATGTGCAGCAGGCAACCAATCCATGTTTCTCTCTCACTCTCTTTCTCCCCCTCCCTTCCACTCTCTCTAAAAAGCAACGGAAAAAATATCCTGGCTGAGGATTCACACACCAAAAAAAGATGGTTCTTATGAAAAATTGCTGGGTGTTTGTATTTTCACCCATTCATTTATTCCAAGAACAGTAAGTTTTCTGATTCTGGATTCACAAAGACAAACAATGGATGGGCGGGGAGTGGCAGGGGAAGGGAGGGGAAGGAAAGGAGACACTACAGAAGGAAAGGTTGAACACTGATGTTTATTAGAGCAGAAGAGAAGGAGAAAACTAGATGACCACACACCTCCGCAGCCCCAGGGGCCTCACTCTGCCCAACCAGACCTCCCGAAGTCCTGGGAGCAGGCAGCCTGTCCCCAGGCTCTGGGGGCCCAGCTCCATCTGCCGCAGTGAGACTCTCGTGCTGCCCACCCTCCCGAACTGGGAGGAAGCCCTTGGGGTGGGGGTGGGGGGTCACTACTTTAAGCAGTTGGTCTCAGTGAGTGATGCAGGTTAGTAAAGTGAAGCAACACGTGCGTTTGCCATCGATCCCCACAGCAATCTTCGCCATGGCCACAGTTCATAACATCCGTTTCCGCAGCTGAAAAAATTAAATGCATGAAGGAGCCTCCTCCTGTTTCGCCATTATCCAGGTCCATGTTGTCAAAGGGCTCCCTGGGAAAGAATGAGAAAATACTGTGAACATGATGTTGGTGAGGATGGAGGGTGAGGAGGGGTGGGAGGAGGAGGAAGAGAGAGGGGGATTTAGGAGGAGGAGAGGATGGCTGTCACTTCCGGAGCCCGTCCTATGCCAGCCTGCTTTCCATGCACTGGCTTTTCTCATGCTCAGACCCAGAACCGCCACACGAGGGAGGAGCTCTCACTGTCCTCATTTCACAGATGAGGAGCCTGAGAGAGACTCCGGGCAATTTTCCCCAAGTGGAGTGGCATTCGCTCTGGGACTCCTGATTCCAAGTTGATCAGTGCCTCCAGCATCCTCGTCCTCATGTAAATGGAGCTGTTAGGAGGGAGGCCTCTGTGGAATCCTGTTTTCAGGAGCCACCCCACCCCCACTCCAGCTCACCAGCAAGGCCTGTCCTACCCGGAGGCAGAGGCCTCAGCTGCTCCTCCGAGGGTGCTGCCCTGGGGCTCACTCACCCCCATAACCCCTCCTCTTGCCGGGCCTACGCAGTGGTAATAAGTGCCTCCAATCGAGGAGGCGCTGACTGCGCCAGGCTCCGCAGATATCGTTATTGCCCCAGTTTACAGGTGCAGAAATGGAGACTCACAGAGGTTAGGTGACTTGCCCAAGGCCACAGAGCAGAAACACAGAAAGCTGAACCCAGGTCTGCCCGATTCCAGAGTCTGAGCTCCTAACTGCTCCCCGGTTGTATTTTCTGGAAGAAGCCAAGCTCGGACTTCCAGTGCTGGAGGACCAGGGTCCCTGGTGCAAGGGGAGGAGCAGGCTCCAGAGGCTGCAGGGACCGGAACAGGGAGGCCTCCCCCGACCCCTCAAAAGCAGAACTTCTGTTAAAGCCCCTCAGAGGGACTCCACCCCCCCTCCCCCCCCCCCACACACACACACAGGATCCCTCACCACCTCCACATAAAGTGTACAGAACTGGAGTGGTCAGAGGCTGACATACCAACCACCGCCCAGCACCAGGCAGTAGCTTCATCAGGCTCAGTGAGCCCTTCTATAAAACTGGATTAAAATGCACACCCTGAAATGACACAGGGGTCTTAAGAGGATCAAATGAGAGAACTTGGGTGAGAGCATCCTGACAATGACAAAGAGCGATGCTCAGAAGGGCGTGTTCCCGAGCCCATTCACAGTAGCACAAAATTACCACAAAGACATAAGATCTCTCTTAACCAGAGATGGCAGTCTGCCCAACTGCACCCTGCCCTGCTTCATCCGCAAAGTTACAGAGGAGGAGTGACATTCACTAGGCTTAACCTCGGAAGGGATTTGCTACTTTATCTAAGAGGATTTGGAAAGGGGGAAGGAGATGGATGTAGACAGTGAGGGAAGAAACAACAGGCTCATGTAAGAACACGGTGCAGGATAGGGGGTGGGGAGGACCAGGATAAGCAGGGGTGCTGGGAGGGCCAAGCAGACCTGCTCAGGGGAACCAAAGACTAAACCCAGAGGAAGAGGGAAGACAGGCCAGGCACATTCCCAGCCTGGAGGGCTATGGGAAGGCAGGAGAGGAGTTGCTGATCCTGGTGACAGTGGTGAGGATGGTGATGGGGGTCACTGGCTGAGCCCGTGGACGCTGCCCCCACCTGGACAGACCCAAGCCTCAACAAGCCACACCTGTCCGATTTGTATTCCAGAATGACCTCCCCTATTTGGGATCTCTTGGTGAGTTGATAGGGGTCAGGGTCCCTTGGGTGTCCCCCAAGGCCTCTCGCAACCTGGCTGCCACCGATCTCCCCTGCCTCGCTCCTTCAGCATAAGCAGCTACCAGCTGTTTCTCTGGTGCCATGTTCTGGGAGGCCTCTGAGCCATGCACTGCAGTCTCCCTGAAACAGAAGGCCTGAGAGAATGCACATACCCAAGCGGATCCCGAGCCCCTCACACGGGATGGACCAGGTTCCTGTCGCAATGGGGCTTGCAGTGAGGGTTCAGCCAGTGCTCCAGGAACTGCTCCTCCGCGCGGTGCTCCAGGCGGAGCAGGTGGTGCATGTACTCCTGTCAAAACAAACCCATGGGGAAGAGAGGCCTTTATCCACAGTGACAATGAGCTGCTGGTTCTGAGGCAGGAAGCCTCCAGACCTAGGAAGGAGAGCCCGCCACGCCCAGGCCTCTGTGGAGACCACAGACCCACTCAGTGGGCAAAAGAAGGAAATCTGCCAACCCTAAGTGCTGAGAGGGTGTGTGCCCACGGGAACTCGTATACACTGATGGGGCGTAACATGGACCAACCACTGTGGAAAACAAACGGTTGCCTGAGTTCCAGAAATCGCACTCCCCGTTTACACCCTAGCCCCGTGCTCCTCAAACGTTATCTGCCCTCAGAATCACCTGGAGGGCTTGTGAAAACAGACTGCTGGACTCCGCCCCCACAATTTCTATTTCAGCGGGGGGGGGGGGGGGGGGGGGGGGGGCGCCAGAATTTACATTTCTAACAAATTCCAAGCCTTTGCTGATGCCGCAGATCACTTCGAGGACAGAGAAACTCTTAAATCAAGAGCTGTGTAGAAGGTTGCACACAGCAGCAATAAGTCTGTAGTAGCAAAACACTGGAAACCTGCCAAATACAGTGACAGGAGAATGGATAAATTAAAGTAGGGTCCCGCCATGGAATATTGTACAGCAGTGTTGTATATACCTATAAATTAATTTAGCTACATACAACAGCATAGATGAGTCTTCGAAATAGCACGTAAAACAAAGCAAATCCAGTAAGACATTTATAATGTGGCACCATTTTTATAAAACTCAAGACATACACAACTAATAATATATTAGTATGGCTGCATGCATTTGTGATAAAATCATCTTTTTTTAAAAGGCAAGGGATGCCGAAGCCGGTTTGGCTCAGTGGATAGAGCGTCGGCCTGCGGACTGAAGGGTCCCAGGTTCGATTCCGGTCAAGGGCATGTACCTGGGTTGCGGGCATATCCCCAGTGGGGGATGTGCGGGAGGCAGCTGATCCATGTTTCTCTCTCATCGATGTTTCTAACTATCTCTCTCCCTTCCTCTCTGTAAAAAATCGGTAAAATATATTTTTAAAAAATAAATAAATAAATAAAAGGCAAGGGATAACTATAAGGAAGCTGAATTTGCTATACTATTATCAAATAAAATAGACTTTGCCCTCTTGGTGTGGCTCAGTTGGTTGGTGTCGTCCTGTGCACCGAAAGGTTGCCAGTTCAATTCCCAGTAAGGACACTTGCCTGGGTTTCAGGTTCAATCCCCTGTAGAGGGCGTGCAGGAGGCAGCTGATTAATGTTTCGCTCTAAACATGGATGTTTCTCTCTCTCTCCCTCTTCCTCTTTCTAAAAACCATTTAAAAGGTATTTTTAAAAATATTTTTAGAAAAGAAAAATAAATAAGAAATGTTTAATGACTATGCAAATAAATGATGAGGTGTCCAATTTTCCTGAATTTTTTTCTTTCCCCCAGGACCCATGCAGTTTGAATTTGTTTTGGTTATCATGGTTGTTTTTATTTAACTCATTGAAATGCACCCTGTGTCCTGGGCAGGGCATCCCTAGGGCAGCCAAGGTGGGAGTGGATGGTGAGAAGGCTCCTCATGGGACACAGCAATGATACCCCGGGAGCTTGCTGGACGAGGTTGTGAGTTTTGGACTGAATTCTGCCCTGTCCTGCCCTCTCTGGGAAGTGTTTGGCCAGAAGAATAGTAAGTGGGAGGAATAGGAAGGCAATGTGGAGTCCTGTAATTAAGGAACAAAGACTTCCCAGCACGTAGCTTTACTTACTCAACTATTCCTTGTAAGCAGTGGGCTGAAGGAGCCCATGTTACCTGGTTGCTGGGCAATGTGGTGGAGAGGCTAAGAGGTCTGAGTCAGAATCTAGTTCAAAGCCAGACTCTGCCAATGTTGCTTTACTCTAGACCAGGGGTGCGCAAACTTTTTGACTCAAGGGCCACAATGGGTTCTTAAACTGGACCGGAGGGCCGGAACAAAAGCATGGATGGAGTGTTTGTGTGAACTAATATAAATTCAAAGTAAACATCATTACATAAAAGGGTACAGTCTTTTATTTCAATAGTTTTATTCATTTCAAATGGGCCGGATCCGGCCCGCGGGCCGTAGTTTGCCCACGGCTGCTCTAGACTCATTTCGTCCATCTGCAAAATGGGGGAGACACTAACACTTATTTCATTGAGTTGCCAGGATTCAATAAAATTATAAAGTTCTGTGCCAAATACGTAGTCCCCATGTGCCCCTCTAAACCCATTCTCACCCCTCCTTCACATGGCCCCGTGCAGGGAGTGGCTGACCTGGATGAACTGCAAGCACAGACTCCCTTGTCCAGGGGCTTCCAGTTGGGTATGACGTAGGGGTAAGAGGAGAAAGGCTAGGGTGTTTGCTCCTGGTCCCTCCCTGAGGAGTCACGGCAGATTGGCTGCCTCCCTCTCCTGAAGACCAGATCTCCTCGAAGGCTGCACTCTCCAAGTCTGGGAACCATAACTTGCCCCTCCCCCTCCAAGACTAGGGGCTATTAGTCCTGGATCCTTGATCATCTCTTGTTGGTTTACCTTAATCCTGGAACAGCTTTGCAACAAGTCTCTTTGTTAAGCTCTCGACTGATTCTGGTTACTACTAGATGAGAAACACCCAAACATAACTTGAGGTTGTGCACTGAGCATCTCTCCCATGAACTGATCCATAGGAAACTTGCAATAAATGCCTGCTGAATGCAAGACTGAAGCAGAGGGCCTCAACATGTGGTCTGTGAGGTCAAAACTATTTTTAGAACAATACTAAGACATGACTTAGTTGCCTTCTGATCATGTGTAACGATGGATAAAACTGGTGCCCTAGCAGAAGTCAAGGCAGTGGCTCCGACTATCCTAGAAGTTACTGTGCCCTGTCTGGGTAGCTCAGTTGGTTAGAGCAACGTCCCGATAGGCCAAGGTTATGTGTTCAATCCCCCATCAGGGCACATAAAAGAATCAACCAATGAATGCATAAATAAGTGGAACAACAAATCAATGTGTGTTTCTCTCTCTTAAAAATGTCAAAAAATAAATGAAAATAAAGTCGTATCCTTCACCATCACACACTCACAGTTTAAAATCTCTATATATATAAAAGCCTAAGCAACCATTACTACTGAACGACTAGAACGATTGGTCGACCAGTTGCTATGATGTGCACTGACCACCAGGGGACAGACACTCAATGCAGGAGCTGCCCCCTGGTAGTCAGTGCGCTCCCACAGCCAACCTCCCTGCCCCGATTGGGGGTCTGGCTGGCCAACCTCCCACGGTCCCTCCCCCCTGTGGCCGGTCCCCCCATCGGCCCCAATTGGGGGGCCGGCCAGCCAACCTCCTGTGGTCCCTCCCCCTAGCCAGCCAGCCCCTCGATACGCCTCGATCATCAGACAGGCTGAGGGACCCCACCCGTGCACAAATTTGTGCACCGGGCCTCTAGTAGATAAGTAAATGTAAAATGTTCTTCAAATGTCAGTTTCACTGAACCAAGTCATAACACAGCAGGAAGCATGCAGGCTGCATGGCCAAATACAATGGTCTTCATGGGAAAAGCACCTGGGTGATGGTTGGTGTCAAGGACTGAACTAGCAGTGTTTTATGTGCTTGTTTGGCAGACATCTTCTCAAAAACGAAGAAAGTGAGTTTGTCCTTCCAAGGAAAACTACAGACAGGACTTGTCACAAAATGCTCAAGTTCAAGCTTCTGAGGGGAAATTAGAATTTTAGAAAAGTTGTATTTACTCCCATGAGCCTGGCAGCTTTTCAATACTTCAGAACTTTTCTGATGAGGTTGGTGGTGATATTAACAAATATACAGCATTGATACATCTTTTATTTTATTTTTTTAATATACTTTTATTGATTTCAGAGAGGAAGGGAGAGGGAGAGGGAGAAAGAAACATCAATGATGAGAGAGAATCATCAGTCAGCTGCCTCCTGCACACTCCCTACTAGGGATTGAGCCACAACCTGGGCATGTGCCCTGACCAGGAATCGAACTGTGACCTCCTGGTTCATAGGTCGACACTCAACCACTGAGCCACGCCAGTCGGGCTATACACCTTTTGTAAGTATATGCTTGTTTGCCTTCTTATTCTTTTAATCCTGGTCCCACTCGGCCAACATCCACCTGCCTTTTTTATAGCAGTGACCAAAGTACCTAGAACTTGGCACATAGTAGGACCTCAATAAAACTCACTGGAGAAATATACAAGTGAGTGAGTGAATTAATTAATCGACTGTTCTTTCTCCATAATCTTAGCAAATCCCCCTTGGAAGATCCCCCCAACATGTGTCAATCTGCTCATTACAATAGCCCAGTCCAAATGTACTTAGGTATTTCACACTCCTGAGTAGCAGCTGAAATCATAGTTGCAGAAAAACAACCAAAACACACACACACACAGAGAAAGAGAGAGAGAAACGAGCACTGGTTTCCATGACAGTTCACTATTTATTTAAAATGTTAGGAAAATAAATATGCCACAAAGGCCTACAAGCAATCATTAGTCAAAGATGAAAAGCCCAACTGCAAATCTGCTGAAAACCACAAATTCAACAATTGTGTTGGCTGAGTTAGAAATGACCTGACATTAATGATCATCTCAAATGTTCCTGGATCAAGAAAGAAGAGCTAGATGGAAAATAAATTTTAATTTTTTAAGATTTCTTTCTTCAAGGGAAAAAAAATTTTGAAAATAAAGCAAAAACCAATATCTGTGTTTCATGTTCAATGCCAAGGGTAATAATGGAAGTAAATAATTTAGCCGTAATTAAAGCAGAGATTGGAAGTGGTCCCTTCTTATGGCACTGAAGTGGTGTGATAATGAAATTATATACTTGCCCGGTTAGTGTTGATCAGTGGTTGAGCATCAAGCTATGAACCAAGAGGTCACGGTTCGATTCCCGGTCAGGGCACATGTCTGGGTTGTGGGCTCAATTCCCAGTGGGGGGCGTGCAGGAGACAGCCAATCAAAGATTCTCTCTCATCATTGATGTTTCTATCT